TGTCTGGATACACACAAATCCAATTACGTATGCGTGTTACCTGGACAACGCCCACATCAATTTAAAACACAAAACCATCTTATCTTTTTTTCAGAGAAAACTGTCCATTTTGCTGTTACGAAGAGAAACACTTGTATTTCTGTCTACCTCAAAACAATTGAACAAAATTGTGAAAAGATTGTGTATTTTGTTTCTTGTTGAAGCGATTAGTTTCTGAAATCTGTACTGCAACGACTAGACTTGAAGCAATGCTTCTTTTGGTAGTCCGTCGTAGACTACAAGCAGTCCCTCTTTCGCTTAGTCTGTCGAGCAAGACGCAAAAGAAAACCACGAGAAAAAATGGCCGCGCGAGATCCTGGGCGCGAGAAGCTTCTCTCCTCTCGGATCTCGGGCGGCCATTTTTTCTCGCGGCTTTCTTTCGCGTCTCACTTGACGGACTAAGCTAAAGAGGGACTACTCGTAGTCTAAGTCCGTCGAGTATGACTTTATTTTTCCCGCGCTCGAGCACGCCCCCGAGGCTGACCGCTCTGCGTGACGCGTGTATCTGAAACATGCGTGATAAGTTTATGTGCCAAAAATCAGCATGTGTGGGAGCGCCACAGTCCTCTCACTTTTTATCACTCCCGACCAACAATTTTCAATAATAAGAGCAAGAGGATAAAGTGGACTGTTTTAACACGGTGTTTCGGAAAGTCGCAACCCTGGAAACGAAATCAAAATAATGACTTCTTACATGTATAGCATGTTCAAATTTCAAAAGCATCTAATTTTAGAATGCGCCAGGACGGATTTGAACTTTGTTCTCCTGGTGAATGGGTTTAGAATTGACGTCTTGTGCGAAGAAAATCATTCTACATGGAATTTGTACTAGTTCACAATCGCCATTGAAAAACGATGCAAAATTCCTATTCACTTGCTGCTCTGACTCGGGTAATGTGAAGGTTTAGTCTATAAATGTACTTCTTCTGTGATGTTGTACTCAGGAAATGCTGACAGCTCAGTTTAAAGGGGCTAGGTCACGCTATTTTAGGTAATTTTGTTTAATTTTGTTTATTATGAGCACTAAACGTCAAATTGGCGGAGCAAAATTCTTTCATTTGCAAAATCACGGCCACATAGCAAATGAGAATGATTTTCCAGCTGTGTAATTGACATTTTGATATGAACTGATATAAATTTGAAAAAAGGTGGGCCGACGTTTTTCATACCTACCCAAATGCTATCCATTTTAATTCTCTCCAGTTTTGTCCGTCCATGTCCCTTGGCTTTCCTGTGTTTTGTTTGAGATCTTCTATAGTTTTGAGCCGTTTTTGTAATATTTTAGTTAATTCTATGACCATTTGATAAGTGCTGAAATTGCCTAAAATTGCGTGACCTTGCCCCTTTAATCTAGAAAATTCTGATTCTTTCACCACATACTAAAATGTCACACTAAAAACCAATAGATGGTTTTCACTGTCACGCAACGAAAAAATCGAAAACTAATCAGTGGATAAAGTCGAGAAATTTTAATATTATAGGAGACAGGTAAAGGAGACACTTCTCCAATTTTTGAGTCTTTGCGTTTTCCCAAACTTCAGATATTCGTCGAAATGTTTTGCGCAAATTTACAGAGCCCAGTATGGAGCCGCCATGTTGGTGGAGCTCTGTGCTCCACCAACATGGCGGTCGGAAAATAGTGCAAACATCTGGAACTTACTTTGGCTATCTAGGTGACTTATTATCTGAACTGAACCAACAAACATTTACACAAGCACTTTTCCTAACACTTTAACTCCTAAAAAGGCTACAATTCACTAGATAAGTGTATATTTCTCCACAAACGCGATCGGAATGGTATGTCACCCACCGACATAACTCTGAACTTCAAACGGCACTGGTTTTTAAACCAAGCACACTATTGAGCTGAAAAGTTGTAAACAGATTTAAGTTTAGATCCCCTTATGCCTTTTGAGGATAAAAATTTTCGTGGCTCTTTAGTTTTGGATTTTGGAATTTGATGACGTCACGTGAAAACGATCTATAGCATGTCAAATCGTATACGAATTTGAGCTTCATGTAAACAGTAGAAATCTTGGCACATAACAGTGTATACTCGTGATCTCAGTATCGCGTAACGAGCTGAAGCAGAATTCCAGATTGTTCAAATCACCGACCAAAATGGCCGCCGTTCAAAAGCAGACATTGCCTTCGTTTTCTTCCATCATTTCTGTTTGGTCTATTGTGTTTTACTGCGTTGGGTTTATAAGAATAGAACTTGAGATGAACGAGCAGAAGAACAGAATAAACTCTCTTGAAAACGTTGCAGAGGCCAATCCGAAGTCAAACGACGCAGACATGAAAATCAAGAATGCTCTTGGTAAGTTGGTCTTAAGTAAGTACGAACTAGGAGTTACCATTACGTTTTTGCGACCACAACTTGGTCTTGATAGAAATTAAATTTATAAGCGACTAAACGTTCTTTAAAGAGTACCGAACAAATATAGCCTGATTGCGTGTTGTCGCACTTCTCACTGCTTCCTGTGTGCTGTGGCAAACAAACCCTGAGGTTAGCAGGTCGAGTTCTCTCACATCAAGTGCAGACAATCTCAGAAGAAAAGCAATCATTCGCACAAAATTGCCTTTAATCGTATCAAATACGACTTAATGTTGTATCCGTTGGACAGATTTTCTGCATCAGGCTTCGTTACATGCATGTAAACTTAATTAGTCTCTAACATCAGTTTTCGCAGTCGTCTCAGTAGTTTAAAACAAACAGGATTATTTACCAGCTTTGCAGGTGACGGTTTTAAAAAACGCATTCAAGAGGCTTTTGTTTCACTTCTAACGTTGAATAGCAAATGGTTCTTTATGGTTTGGAATTGTTTGCTCCCACGCTTTGGTAACTGTAGGGTTTATTTTGGTTACTGAAGTACTATTTTTATTTGTTGCTAGAAATTCAAAACCTCTATAGAAACAGACGTCAGGTTGTATCAACTACGAACACGACGGAAGCGAAAGACACTGCGGAAACCACCATCAAAATCAGCAAGCATCTTTTATCACAATGGAGAGCACATCTGTGTCAATCTAAGAGTGTCACGTGCTCATCAGGTCCGCCAGGCCCTTCCGGTCCACCTGGGACAAAAGGAGCCCGGGGACGAAGAGGACAAAAAGGAAGAAATGGAAATAAAGGAGATCAAGGCATTATGGGATCGCCAGGAAAGAGCGGTAAGCAAGGCATCATGGGACCTGGGGGGTTAAAGGGAGAGCCTGGAAACAAAGGTGAGAAAGGAGATGTAGGTCCTGCAGGCATGCCGGGAAGGAAAGGCGAGCCTGGCGAATCGATATCAACTCCTGCTGTTGTTGTTTCTCCTGTGACGTTGACAGTGAACGAAGGTGGATCAGCCTCGTTTCAGTGTTCAGCAAGCGGTAATCCTGAGCCTTCAGTAGCGTGGACTAAACTGAACAATCAGTCAGAAATAATTCAGTCAGCGGTTTCAGGAGGAAAGTTGCAGTTAAAGCACGTGACCGGAAGTGACGCAGGCTTGTATCAGTGTTTAGCAACAAACATCCTGGGGATTCACGGAAAGTGGCGGGATTGACAGTAAATGGTAAGCTTATGATAATGAAAATGTTATAAAATGAATTATTTCCTGTCAAAGGGGGTGCCAGCTCTTCCAACTGTGAGTGGTTTATATTTCGTTTTTTGGAAAATCAGTTGATGTTCAAGTCCAAAAATGAGGCTTAATTTTTTTCACTTGAATGCAGTACATCCTCGTGTTTCTCTACATCCGGGACCTTATCACGTCATTGAAGGAAGTAACGTCACTTTACCTACCTGTCACGTCACCGGATACCCGGCTCCTGTGGTCACCTGGAGGAAGTCATCTGGTCAGTTACCCCAGGGGAGGACAAAGTATAACAACACTGCTTTACAAATCTCATATGTCCGTAAAGTTGATTCTGATGCCTACTTCTGTTCAGCGGTCAACCTTTTAGGAAACGTTGAAAGAAAAACTCTACTAGTTGTGATTTCACTTCCTCGGTTCACTGTTAAACCGCCTGGAAAGGTTTTTGCTATTACTGGCGACACTTTAACCTTGAACTGCAGCGCCATCGGTGATCCACCACCAGTCATTACTTGGAAAAGACAAGGAGCAGTACTGCCTGTGAGAAGGAGTCACAAGACAGCTGATGCGTTTGTCTTGAGAGATCTGAAAGAAGAAGATGCTGGAAACTACATTTGTGTGGCTACAAGTGCAGGAGTGTTCCATATCGAGACAATAAGTGATGTTGAAGTTAGAAAACCGCGAGGTAAGTTATAACTAGAGTGTCCCATTTGTCACAAAGAGAGAGCAAGGCTGCACTCAAATTCCTGCTGCGTGAGTGTGGCTACAACTGCAGGAATGTTTGATAGCGAGACAATGAAGTTAGAAAAGTGAGAGGTAGGTTTTGAATAGAGTGACACCCTTTGTCACAAAGAGAGAATAAGTCTGCGCTTAAATTCCTGCGGTCGGACATGTGTTTTCTTTTTCCCTATGCACAAGCGATGTCGTATTTTGGAGACGAGAGAAGTGTAGTGAGAAATACGAGTCGATAGGCCGATAGGATAGTGCTCTCGTCACTTCCTCTAAAGCTTTATAACAGAAGAAAGAATTCCTAGAATAGAAACACACACCACTTGAGGTCTTCTTGCTAATTTTGTGTCAGAGCTGTACGTTTTAATCGACAAAATTGATCTTTTGTTGAGCTTAAAAAGCAAGATCTGTAACAATTTAAAGCTGTACGCGGAAAAGAAACGCTGGATGATAAAGTAAGCATTCGTCGTGACTTGTAAGTTACGTACTTTGTATCCTCATAAGTTTGATCGACCATAGTCCATATTTAGGCGAGACGCAGTTGAGCCAGAATACTCAAGGCGAGATCAAATGAGCCTGGCATTTATACCTACCTATTTATAGGTATTTATGGGTATTTCGGGTGTTTTGGCTGGACTACATCTCGCCGAAATAAGAACCATGGCTCCAATAAACTCGCCTGATATGCCGCCGAGGCGTACCAAAAAGGTACGGTTAGGTATTTACCATACCCAAATTCAGCCAAAAATCCGACCATACCAGATGAGTGACTTGATGTGGCAGGATATTAGGATAGAAGACACGGCTTCTGATTGGCTAATTGCGAATTTGGGTATGTTAATTAGATTATTAAATAATTAGTAATATAATACTACGTTTTTGAAGGTGTCAAGCAAAACGGCAGTTTCCCGTTGAATAAGGACACTTAAGAAAACAATCATCTAAAATTATAAATCTAAATTTACCTCTCCCGTTTCTGAGGGCTAAAAATCAATGTAGATATGACATTTCTCTAGTGCCAATGACACATTTTTGATTCTGTTTATTTCCAAACCAGCCTCACGAACTTTAATCCACAATAGAAAGCTAACAGTAAGAACTTATGGTTATTATGAGACCTTAATTTCGTAACAATTTTGTTTGTCACAATTTTTT